TGAATATTTTGTACAGCTGTCTGAGATTTAAGGCAATCCTAAATAATTGATGGTGACACCGCAAAACTCACGGATCATTAAAGATTATATTTTTGCCAAACACGTTTCATTATAATTTATGCTCAATGTCGTTCGATCAAGGCTTTACGCCTTAAAGACACACACCGAGATTTCTAGAGCCATTTAACATATTTATATGTTCTGTAGAGACAGATATTGTTAAAATCAGATATTGTTTCTGAACATTCCTATGAAGCGATCAAATCCATTGCAGGAAGTATAAAACCCACAGAAAACAATGAATTATATTTTTGGAGGGGGTATTTATTCACTGTGTACATACAGTGCATTCGGAAACTATAAAGACCCCTTGACTTTTTCCACATGTTGTTACGTTACAGCCTTATTCTAAATTTAATTAAAAATTATAAAAACAATACATCTACACACAATACCCCATAATGAGAAAGCAAAAACAGGTTTTTAGAAATGTTTGCAAATGTATTAAAAATAAAAAAGTATTCAGACCCTTTACTCAGTACTTTGTTGAAGCACCTTTGGTAGCGATTACAGCCTCAAGTCTTCTTGGATATGACGCTACAAGCTTGGCACATCTGTATTTGGGGAGTTTCTCCCATTCTCTCAAGCACCATCAGGTTGGCTGGGGAGCGTCACTTCACAGCTATTTCCAGGTCTCTCCAGAGATGTTAGATCGGGTTCAAGTCCGGGCTCTGGCTGGGCCACTTAGGGACATTGAGACTTGTCCCGAAGCCATTCCTGCGTTGTCTTGGCTGTTTGCTTAGGGTCGTTGTCCTGTTGGAAGGTTAACCTTCGCCCCAGTCTGAGGTCCTGAGCGCTCTGGAGCAGGTTTTCATCAAGGATCTCTCTGTACTTTGCTCAGTTCATCTTTCCCTCGATCCTGACTAGTCTCCCAGTCCCTGCTGCTGAAAAACATCCCCACAGCATGATGATGCCACCACCATGCTTCACCGTAGGGGTGGTGCCAGGTTTCCTCCAGACGTGACGCTTGGCATTCAGGCCAAAGAGTTCAATCTTGGTTTCATCAGACCAAAGAATCTTGTCCATTAGGTGCCTTTTGGCAAACTCCAAGCGGGCTGTCATGTTCCTTTTACTGAGGAGTGTCTTCCGTCTGGCCACTTCCTTCGACCTCATGGCTTGGTTTTTGCTCTGACATGCACTGTCAACTGTGGCACCTTATATAGACAGGTGTGTGCCTTTCCAAATAATGTCCAATCAATTGAATTTACCATAGGTGGACTCCAATCAAGTTATAGAAAGAGCACAAGGATGATCAATGGAAACAGGATGCACCTGAGCTCAATTTTTTCGAGTCTCATAACAAAGGGTCTGAAAGTATTCATTACCCTTGACTTATTCTAAACATATTGCTAAACTAAACATATTTCTCACCCACCTACACACAATACCCCATAATGACAATACCCCATAATGACAAATGAAAATATGTTTTCTGAAATTTCTGATAATTTATTGAAAATGAAATACAGAAATATCTCATTTACATAAGTATTCACACCCGAGTAAATACATGCTAGAATCACCTTCGGCAGCAATTACAGCTGTGAGTCTTTCTAAGTAAGTCTCTAAGTGCTTTGCACACATGAATTGTACAATATTCACACATTATTATTAAAAGTCTTGCCATTTATTTTCAAGCTGAATTAAGTAAAAACTGTAACTAGGACACTCAGGAACATTCAGTGTATATTTGGGCTTGTGATTTAGGTTGTTGTCCTGCTGAAAGGTGAATTTGTCTCCCAGTGTCAGTTGGAAAGCAGACTGAACCAGGTTTTCCTCTACGATTTTGCCTGTGCTTAGCTATTTTCTGTTTCTTTTTTTCTTAAAAAACTCCACCTGGACTATTTACATTGACTGACCCCCCCCTCCCCCCTTTGTTATTACACTGCTGCTACTCGTTGTTTATTATATATGCATAGTCAATTTACCCCTACCTACATGTACATATTACCTAGACTAACCTGTACCCCAACACATTGACTCAGTACCAGTACCCCCTGTATATAGCCTCATAATTGTTTTTTATTTTATTTTTGTAATATATATTTATTTTATTATTTATTTTTTAATGTATTTTACTGTATTTTGTAAATATTTTGTTAACTCAATCTTCTTAAAACTGCATTGTTGGTTAACGGCTTGTACAGTGCCTTTCATCCCCCTTGCAATTTTCCTATTTTGTTGCATTACAACCTGTAATTTAAATTAAATTTTTTAATTTTAGTCATTTAGCAGATGCTCTTATCCAGAGCGACTTACAGTTAGTGAGTGCATACATTACTTTTTTTCATACTGGCCCCCCGTGGGAATCGAACCCACAACCCTGGCTTGCAAACGCCATGCTCTACCAACTGAGCTACATCCCTGCCGGCCATTCCCTCCCCTACCCTGGACGACGCTGGGCCAATTGTGCGCCGCCCCATAGGTCTCCAGGTCGTGGCCGGCTACGACAGAGCCTTAGACCACTGCGCCACTCGGGAGTAAATTGATTTTTATTTGGATTTCATGTAATAGATATACACAAAATAGTCCAAATTGGTGAAGTGAAATGAAAATAATAACTTGTTTCCAAAAATGCAAAAAAATAAATAACGGAAAAGTGGTGCGTGCATATGTATTCACGCCCTTTGTTATGAAGCCCCTAAATAAGATCTGTTGCAACCAATTACCTTCAGAAGTCACATAATTAGTTAAATACAGTCCACCTGTGTGCAATCTAAGTGTTCCATGATCTGTCACATGATCTCAGTATATATACACCTGTTCTGAAAGGCCCCAGAGTCTGCAACATCACTAAGCAAGGGGAACCACGAAGCAAGCGGCACCATGAAGACCAATGAGCTCTCCAAACAGGTCAGGGACAAAGTTGTGGAGAAGTACAGATCAGGGTTGGGTTATAAAAAAATATCAGAAACTTTGAACATCCCACCATCTATTATAAAAAAATTGAAAGAATATGGCCCACAACAAACCTGCCAAGAGAGGGCCGCCCACCAAAACTCACGGACCAGGCAAGGAGGGCATTAATCAGAGAGGCAACAAAGAGACCAAAGATAACCCTGAAGGAGATGCAAAGCTCCACAGCGGAGATTGGAATATCTGTCCATAGGACCACTTTGAGCCGTACACTCCACAGAGCTGGGCTTTATGGAAGAGTGGCCAGAAAAAAGCCATTGCTTAAAGAAAAAAATAAGACATGTGGGAGACTCCCCAAACATATGGAAGAAGGTACTCTGGTCAGATGAGACTAAAATTGAGCTTTTTGGCCATCAAGGAAAACGCTATGTCTGGCGTAAACCCAACACCTCTCATCACCCCGAGAACACCATCCCCACAGTGAAGCATGGTGGTGGCAGCATCATGCTGTGGGGATGTTTTTCCATCGGCAGTGACTGGGAAACTGGTCAGAATTGAAGGAATGATGGATGTCACTAAATACAGGGAAATTCTTGAGGGAAACATGTTTCAGTCTTCCAGAGATTTGAGACTGGGACGGAGGTTCACCTTCCAGCAGGACAATGACCCTAAGCATACTGCTAAAGCAACACTTGAGTGGTTTAAAGGGAAACATTTAAATGTCTTGGAATGGCCTAGTCAAAGCCCAGACCTCAATCCAATTGAGAATCTGTGGTATGACTTAAAGATTGCTGTACACCAGCGGAACCCATCCAACTTGAAGGAGCTGGAGCAGTTTTGCCTTGAAGAATGGGGGAAAAATCCCAGTGGCTAGATGTGCCACGTTTATAGAGACATACCCCAAGAGACTTGCAGCTGTAATTGCTGCAAAAGGTGGCTCTACAAAGTATTGACTTTGGGGGGGGGGGTGAATCTTCAAAGTGGTAGGCATGTTGTGTAAATCAAATGATACAACCCCCCCAAAAATCCATTTTAATTCCAGCTTGTAAGGCAACAAAATAGGAAAAATGCTAAGGGGGGTGAATACTTTCGCAAGCCACTGTAAGTAAGCATTTCACGGTAAGCTCTACACCTGTTGTATTTGGCGCATGTAACAAATAACATTTGATTTGATTTGAATTAATAACTTCATCTTGCTCAAAGGGATATTCAATGTCAGTTTTTTTTTACCCATCTATCAATAGGTGCCCTTCTTTGCAAGGCATTGGAAAACCTCCCTAGTCTTTGTGGTTGAATCTGTGTTTGAAATTGACTGCTTGACTGAGGGACCTTACAGATAATTGTATGTGTGAACTACAAAAATGAGGCAGTCGTTCAAAAATCATGTTAAAAGTCCATGCAATTTATGTGATTTGTTAAGCACATTTTTACTCCTGCATTTATTTAGGCTTGCCATAACAAAGGGGTTGAATACTTATTGACTCAAGACATTTAAGCTTTTCATTTTGTATTTTTTTTTTTTAAGTTCTTTAATTGTGACACAAAATCTCTATTTAATAAATGTTATATTCAGGCTGTAACACAACAAAGTGTGGAAAAAGTCAAGGGGTGTGAATACTTTCTGAAGGCACTGTAATTGTCTTCCTAGGAAGTGGAACATTCTACCAAAAGATCAATATGCATTTTCTCTTCATGTAGAAAAACAACAATGAATAATACAAACTCATTATAATGGTAGTGTGTACTCTTTGTTGCTTAACCACTGCTATAGGAACAGAGGGGTAATGAGGGTCCTGCTGTCTGCAGTCAGCAAGGCCTTCAGTTGTTCACATTTTACAGTTTTAATCTCATTAAGTACAATCACTTAATATATCGATGGAACCCTGTCCCATGAGAGAGTCAATTGTGTTCACGGAGAAATTACATTCCAAACAATTCCCATTCAAGACATAGGGCTATTACCCCATTGGAAACAGTTACCCTCTGACAATCCATTCAAGTTTGTAATTTATTTTATTTTTTTATACTTAATTGAATATATCTCACTTGGTGGGGATGCAACGTAGTTGTGGTTTGTGAGATCACTACTGACAGAACCTTACCTGGATCTTGATTGGCCAGGAGAAGTTGCTGACATAGACATAGAAGGTGATGTTGGAGTTGACCCGGAAGTTGAACTTCTCACAGGAGAAGCTGTCTCTGTGTTCCTGGATATTGGTCTTGGACACGATGGGAACCTCCTCGCCAGAGATGGTGCCAGCTGGGGGTGAGAGGTGGGTCATAGTGTAAGACATCAAAGGAAGGATACTGAGAGGATAGTACAGTTGGTGATAGTCAAGCACACATATACACTACCGGTCAAACGTTTGGACACACCTACTCATTCAAGGGTTTTTCTTTATTTTTACTATTTTTAACATTGTAGAATAATAGTGAAGACATCAAAACTATGAAAGAACACATATGGAATCATGTAGTAACCAAAAAGTGTTACACAAATCAAAATATATTTTATATTTGAGATTCTTCAAATAGCCACCATTTGCCTTAATGACAGCTTTGCACACTCTTGGCATTCTCTCAACCAGCTTCATGAGGTAGTCACCTGGAATGCATTTCAATTAACAGGTGTGCCTTCTTGAAAGTTATTTTGTGGAATTTCTTTCCTTCTTAATGCGTTTGAGCCAATCAGTTGTATTGTGACAAGGTAGGGGGGTATACAGAAGATAGCCCTATTTGGTAAAATACCAAGTCCATATTATGGCAAGAACAGCTCAAATATGCAAAGAGAAATGACATTCCATCATTACTTTAAGACATGAAGGTCAGTCAATACGGAACATTTCAAGAACATTGAACGTTTTTTCAACTGCAGTCGCAAAAACCATCAAGCGCTATGAGGATGAGGACCGCCACAGGAATGGAAGACCCAGAGTTACCTCTACTGCAGAAGATAAGTTCATTGGAGTTACCAGCATCAGAAATTGCAGCCTAAATAAATGCTTCACAGAGTTCAAGTAACAGACACATCTCAACATCAACTGTTCAGAGGGAGACTGTGTGAATCAGGCCTTCATGTCGAATTGCTGCAAGAAACCACTACTAAAGGACACCAATAAGAAGAAGAGACCTGCTTGGGCCAAGAAACACAAGCAATGGACATTAGACCGGTGGAAATGTGTCCTTTGGTCTGGAGTCCAAATTGGAGATTTTTGGTTGCAACCGCTGTGTCTTTGTGAGACGCGGTGTGGGTGAACGGATGATCTCCGCATGTGTAGTTCCCACCGTAAAGCATGGAGGACGAGGTGTTTTGGTGTGGGGATGCTTTGCTGGTGACACTGTCTGTGATTTATTTAGAATTCAAGGCACACTTAACCAGCATGGCTACCACAACATTCTGCAGCGATACGCCATCCCATCTGGTTTGGGCTTAGTGGGACTATCATTTTTTATTCATCAGGACAACGACCCAACACACCTCCAGGCTGTGTAAGGGCTATTTGACCAAGAAAGAAAGTGATGGAGTGCTGCATCAGATGACCTGGCCTCCAAAATCCCCCGACCTCAACCCAATTGAGATGTTTTGGGATGAGTCGGACAGCAGAGTGAAGGAAAATCAGCCAACAAGTGCTCAGCATATGTGGGAACTGTTGGAAAAGCATTCCAGGTGAAGCTGGTTGAGAGAATGCCAAGAGTGTGCAAATCTGTCATCAAGGCAAAGGGTGGCTATTTGAAGAATCTCAAATATAAAATATATTTTGATTTGTTTAACACTTTTTTGGTTACTACATGATTCCATATGTGTTCTTTCATAGTTTTGATGTCTTCACTATTATTCTACAATGTAAAAAATAGTAAAAACCCTTGAATGAGTAGGTGTGTCCAAACTTTTGACTGGTACTGTATGTACAGAGGGTATAGGTACTGCTGTGACAGTTGTGCCAGTCGAACAAAACAGAGTTTTGTGATGACAGTCGAGAGAGAAGACAGATTAGCCAGACTAGTGGCGTTTTAGAAGACAGATTAGCCAGCGAGTGTCAAAAAAAGTACAGAGAAAAGTGGCATTCCCAAATATAGTGAATCCAGAGTGAGCCCAGTACAGTGACAGTTTCAGAGCAGAAATTATACTGTCGATGCATGAACATGTTGTGGCAGAACCGTGGCTGAGTGGTAACACTCTTCCCCTCAACACATGTAACCAAAGACAGGGGTACAATCCCTGAGTCGACCCTTCCAACTTTCTCCCATCTTCAACTCTGTATTCCCTTGTAATTTTTGATCTGTCCAAAAAAAACTTGAAATATGTAAGGAGCGTAGAATTCTACTTTCTTTAAAAAACAGAGACATGCATATATATTTAAAGTGGTCCCAAAATGAAGACGTTATCAAGAATAGTGAATTAACAGGCCAGACTTTGGGACAGCTTTAATAAAAGATGATCTCAACCAATTTATCAGTGACATAACTTGTAATTGCTCTGCACATATATTCAAGCCCTGAAGTTTCCTCTCAAATCAAGCAAAAAAAATAAATAAATAAAATCTGGGCCTGGTACAGTCTGGGCAAAGTTTTATCTTAATTGAAATCACACAAAAACACTTCAAAATCCCAATGCCATAATTAAAAATATCTCCACTACATTTTGTCAAGAGGGGCATTTCCCTTACAGACATTCCTGTCTAATTAGGGACACTGACCAGAACAACAAAAGTACCATTCCCTCTGGGAAAAGATGCCAAACAGAGAGTGGGACTTTGTACATCAGAGATTGTATGAGTTTCTTTCCCATCCTAGGTGAATAATACAGTATAACAACAGCCTACAATGGATTCTGTAGTGCAGGGGGTCGTACACTGTCTGATGCTGAGTGGGGGATATCTGCCGTAGACCGTAGTGAGCGTAGCTAGGTGGACAATAGAATCAAATGAGAGGACAAGCCCTCAACATGCTGTCAAATAAACATAGACATTCACTATAGCCCATATTGATCCACTTTATGGCAAATGACGATCTAATAAGACAAGTTACCTGTTGATCCAATAGACCAGGTGATGTTGAGGTTGAAGTTGTTGGACGCATTGATCGACATGTCCAGGTTCTTGTTGCTCTGTAAAATATGAACACAAAAGGAGGTCAAACACACGTATTCCAAACCAACATTATGATGGTTTGGAATGACTTGGAATAATGCTAATGTGGGTTTTCTCGGTTTTCCATCAAAATGGATGCATAAAATACATAACAGAAAGGCTACATGAGACCGTCCTTCGGTCCTATGGTGACTGAGACCTCTGTGTGGTGACTGGCTGACCTGTTCAGGAGTGGCCATGAAGTTGATGGCGGTGTAGTGGTGGTCATCCTCCTGGAGAAGGCTGAAGGTGAACTGGTAGTCAATCAGCAGGTTGTCTGCAGGGACAGAGAGACAAACAGCAGATCAGGGACCATCTTCTTAAAGTGCAAACAGTCTGAAGAACCTCAGCCGGAAGAGTTACCCAAGAAACAGACCACAAGTGCATGTGACTGCCTTCATTTTCATATCAATAATGCAGTATTTCAATCAGCACAAGCTGAAACAAGAGTAGAGGAAGATCTACAGTACCAGTCAAAAGTTTGGACACACCTACTGTATATAAGATGTGAAGATCTATATGACATGGGTGTACCGCTAATACACTGAACAGAAATATAAACACAACATGCAACAAATTCAATGATTTTACTGAGTTTTAGTTCATATAAGGAAATCAGTCAATTGGAATAAATTCAATAGACACTAATCTATGGATTTCACATGACTGGGCAGGGGCACAGCCACTGGGGAGCCAGGCCCAGCCAATCAGAATACGTTTTTCCCCACAAAAGGGCTTTATTACAGACAGAAATAGTCCTCAGTTTCATCAGCTGTCCGGGTGGCTGGTCTCAGACGATCCTGCAGGTTAAGAAGCCGGATGTAGAGGTCCTAGGCTGGCGTGGTTACACGTGGTCTGCGGTTGTGAGGCCTGACGTACTGCCAAATTCTCTAAAACGACGTTGGAGGCGGCTTATGGTAGAGAAATGAACATTACATTCTCTGGCAACAGCTCTGTTGGACATTCCTGCAGTCAGCATGCCAATTGCACGCTCCAACAAAACGTGAGACATCTGTGGCATTGTATTGTGTGACAAAACTGCACATTTTAGTGGCCTTTTATTGTCCCCAGCACAAGGTGCACCTGTGTAATGATCATGCTGTTTAATCAGTTTCTTGATATACCACACCTGTCAGGTGGATGGATTATCTTGGCAATGGAGAAATGCTCACTCACAGGGATGTAAACAAATGAGTGCACAACATATGTGAGAAATAAGCTTTTTGTGCGTATGGAACATTTCTGGGATCTTTTATTTCAGCTCATGAAACATGGGACCAACACTTTACATGTTGCGTTTATATTTTTGTTCAGTATAGAAAATATTCACTGGGATTCAATGCCAGTTCTACTTTTATAAACGTTTGTCCTATTCAATGACAGGGCCTCATGGTACATTTAACATCTGGACCTCAGCAGGAATCTAGAAAGGTCACCTTGTCTGATTCCATTCAGAAGACAGCCCTTGATTCGGAGGGTAGTGTCTAGGAGGAGCCATGTGAGAGAGTGTCTCTAGTGGATTGTCAATATGCTCAGCAGGACGTTTAACTGTTAACCCTTCAGATCACTGTTATTAACTCTTCAGAGGAGTTCAGGTTGAACCAGGGGGTGCACAACTCCGGTCCTCAAGGGGTTACAGAGCCTGCTGTCTTTTGATCAGACATAGGAAGCCAGGTATGTGCACTCTCTGGGCAATCAATGATATGAACTGATCAATTCAGTGCCAGGGAGCAATAGAAAACAGCAGGGATACTGTTCTTGTGGACTGGAGTTGTGCATCCTGGGTAAAAGCGAGGCCTATACACCACAGGCGGCTGGTGGCACCGTCATTTGGGAGGACGGGCTCATAGTAATGGCTGGAATGGAATGGTTTCCTTGTGTGTTTGATACCATTCCATTCACTTCATTCCAGTCATTATTATGAGCTCTCCTCCCCTCACCAGCCTCTTGTGCTATACACACATTGGCCATCAAACACCAAATCCCACTCCCTAAGAGGAAATGCCATCTTCATAATTTGTCAATGACAGCTGAATACACTACACGTCTCTACCTCAGAAGCTCACACTGTGCCATTCACTGTCCCATTTCACGGCTTCTATGAACTGATGTTAATCAGCCATGAATGTGTTTACACACCAGGAGAACAAACAATTGTTTGTCATCGTTCTAACTTGACAAAAGAAACACTCCTGCAGAGTTCAGAGAGGACTTAATTTGACTTCCTTTCAGAACACACATTTCAAGCCATAGCAAGACGAAAGGAAATTATGTTTGACAAATAGTTGGTTTTGTTTAGCCGTCACGCCGAGTTAAAGGAATTAGCAGATATCAGATCAAAGCCGATGTGTGTGTCTCTCTCTCCCTCCTGCTCCGGGCACACATGTTGGTGTGTGTTGTTTATCCCATAAGGGTCTAGTAAACTACAGAAAGTTCCACATGCTCTATAAAGGTGACACAGAAGTGCAGGGAAATTCAAAGCAGATATTGTGAGCTTTCTGGAGTGTTTGGAGCCAGTATTGTGCTTATTAATGTTATTTAGAGCAATGTAGTGCCCACTCAAAGAACCCCTACTGTTTCTGCGGTAATGAGAGAGTGTGTGTTGTCCAGAAGAAGAGTGTGACTTCACAGAGAAGAAATTAATGACATTATGAAAAGTGGAAGACTTGTCAAATTGCACAATCATTTTCTACATGTTTCTATATGTTAGATTTCATGCCTGATATAATATTAGCCACTGTGGTGCAAAAGCTCAGTGTGCAAATTAAAACTGCCATCAGAGAAATAATAAAACAATTTACTTTGGATAATCTAAATGACATGCATACATTACATGCTCATTGGGGACTAATTTTACCTTACAAAGATAATTAAATAAAGCAAGGTAAGGATCAAATTAGCTTCACAAGACTAAAAGGAAATCCATCTGTTTTAAAAGTTTTCATAGGTGAGTCATGGCATTAGCATAATGTGTAACTTTATTCAGCGTCTGAAACAAAAAAAACCGAAAAGAGCAAAATCTCACCTGTAAAGTAATTTCCTATTTAGAAGCATGCTTCCAATGAGTTGAAACAAGCATGAAGCCTTACTCAACATCTGCTATACAGGATCCACTTGGAGATTTCTTCCAGTCTGTTACTATTCATTACCTTGCATTTGAAACACTCTTCAAAGACAAAGAACAGAATGTACAGCATGATAGTACAGGGGTAAAGCAATATATTTCAGTCAAAATACTTTTCTTAAAGGTCAAGATGGTCCTGTATGGCTCAGTTGGTAGAGCTTGGAGCTTACAGTGCCAGGATAGCGGGTTCAATTCCCGCTGCCACCTATACAAAATTTATGCACGCATGACTGTTAGTCGCTTTGGATAAAAGCACCTTCTAGCATTTAAAAAAAATATATATATTATTATTATATAAGATCCCTGAAAAATGAATTTTCTAAAAGGACACCATTGAGACTTTACTCTCAGAACACTGGCTCAGAAGAAGTGGTGTCCTTGATTATTCTGGGCCTCCAGGTAAAGTGACACTTGTAATGATGGAGGCATAGTTATGAATATGTGCTTGTCTGATTGTAGCACTCAGCTGTCTGAGCCAACTGCCTGACTGATCAAGTTCAGACATCAGTTGTATTCTCAGAATTACTAGGATTAGTTCCCTCAGTCGGACAGACCTTAGTCTACACAGCCAGTCTACAATTAGCAAGTAGAGACGATCAACACAGAGACGCCTCCGTGCTTCGTCTGGGGAGAATTTCTCTCTCTGTATTTTATCTGACACTGGTTAGGCGTCTGGGCAAAGTGCCTGTCAGATAGTGTTTAGGCATCTGGGCAGAGTGCCGGTCAGATAGTGTTTAGGCTTCAGTGCAGAGTGCCGGTCAGATAGTGTTTAGGCGTCAGTGCAGAGTGCCTGTCAGATAGTGTTTAGGCTTCAGTGCAGAGTGCCGGTCAGATAGTGTTTAGGCGTCAGTGCAGAGTGCCTGATTCTCTCATGATAAGGGGCTTGAGGGTACAGGCTGGTAATGGAGGGTGGTGTGGCTGGTGGGACACACTTGGTGGCTCCTTCTCATTAGGGCGTGCTTGCTGACACGGCTCCACTGTGAGGGCAACTCATTACCACAACAGCCTGGTCAGCCACTGACGACCAGCTTCCTCATTAGCATCGGCCATGATTACATTCCAGAATGAAGTCATCTGAGCTGAACCACAGTACTGGTCCTCCAAGAGCACAGTGACCTAGACCAGCCTCCAGTGGTAGGAAGTATTCGGCCTAGCGTTAGTAGAATTACTAAGTAGTAGTAGTAGTTGTAGAATAAGTACATAGTAAAGCCATACATTCATTGTAGAAGTATTAGCAGTTGTGGTTGTAGTATGCCTTGTAGTAGTAGTAGTAGTTGTAGTAATAGTAGTAGTAGTAGTATGCCTAGCAGTAATAATAGTAGTAGTAGTAGTAGTAGTAGTAGTAGTAGTAGTAGTAGTAGGCGTACATTAGCAATTTCCCCATTAATATAATGTAATGCCTCATCATCATTACTGTCAGTATCATTATTAGTGTCATTGTGCTTGACAGCTCCACAGTTCTGCCTTGTAACAACTGACATTAGCGGATGGTTAAATAATTAGCATGTAATGAGCCTGCAAAGTAAACATCAATCCACTCAAAGAGAGGGCGGTGTGTGCGCTATGATTTCAGTCGCCCTGATTCACTAGGCATAATTGGCCCAATTAGTCTCTATAACCTACCCATCCATATACAAGCTTACACCTCCCACACGTCTGCATTTCCTACAGGTCCAACAAATCCTACACATCCGCACTGGCAGTGCTTCTAGGAAAGGCAGGGCTGGACTCATGATTTTGCAAAACAACGTGATAAAAGCTTTGAATCTTGGGTATCCATCAAAGCCATGGTTATGACATTGGGTATCCATCTAAGTAGCACTTAAGTGGGGCTTAACATTTGATCCTACATAACCCTTTAAAGAGAAACTGCCTTTAAAAAGCAACGAATCCCTTTGAAAACGACCTATGTGGCGTCAATTCAAGTCAGAAACAGTTATTCTAGTGTCAAAATTAACTACAAAGTGTCAATAGGATAATTGTTGTCAAAGTCAGTCTCATCTAAAATGGAGATTGGAACATCTGTGCGTCACAACAGGTAAATTAAGGTTGGGTTTTGATCCGACGATGTCCATTTGCCCACTAACATGGGGTGAACAGCTGCGGTGATATCTCTCTATCCAATAGCATAGACAGTGAGGCAGACCTGCCCAGCAGCTCCGACTTTGTATACATAAGACAACACGTTGTGCATTTCTGAACTTGAGAAACACCGCACCAAACACCCTTAGTTAGATGTAAAATTGCGCAACTAAAACATCCTCGGCAAAGACGATAAAATGAATGACACACTTCTTGAGTTATCTCATGAAGTGTTTGATTGCATTTTTGATTGCATTTGCATTGATGTCAGAGTGATTAGAGGGACACATCACTCTGACATCAATGCTGCCTTTGGTAGGCTACTAATGACCATCAACGGCATCAGAGCAGTTTTTTGGAGAAGCCTAGTTACCGTGACTCAACGGTCACATAGAATTTGACTTCGGTCATCACTCGGGATTGCCGGTGTGGCGGTAATACGGTCACCATAACAGCCCTAGTTAGGCGGTCTACCTAAGAACCTTAGATCCTGGCTTTCTAACAGCATTTTACACAAACAATTTTAAAGAGCGACTGCCTTTAAAATGCAAAAAAAAATTTGGGGAAAACAGCCTACGTGGCATCGATTCGATTCAGAAACAGTTATTCTAGTGTCAAAATTGACTAGAAAGTGTCAATAGGATAATTTTGTCTCGTCTAAAACGGAGTTTGGAACGTCCGTGCGTCACAACAGGTAAATGAAGGTTGGGTTTTGATCCGACGATGTCCATTTGCCCACTAACAAAGGGTGCACAGCTGCGGTGATATCTCTCTATCCAATAGCATAGACAGTGAGGCAGACCTGCCCAGCAGCTCCGACTTTGTATACATAAGACAACACGTTGTGCATTTCTGAACTTGAGAAACACTGCACCAAACACCTTAGTTAGATGTAAAATTGCGCAACTAAAACATCCTCGGCAAAGACGTCAAAATTAATTACAGGTCTAACTACATAACAACAAAAAGGTAATACTTTTATTTCAATGGTAAATCTCATGATAAACTGGGTGAATTAAGGTGGCATAGGCCTACTCACAATACATGTGAATGCATATTCAATCGGAGTGTGTGTGTGCATTGAGTTATTGAGTTATTGAGCTTGTTTTGAATGATCAGTGGAGTCTATAGTGCTAGATGTACAAACAAACAATCTGTTTGCCTTCCATTTGGGACTTATTAGCCTACTGATCAACAACATTTGCATAGAAGCATCACTCCAGCATGTGGAAGGACATTATATAGGCACTGCTGTTAGTTTGAGAATATAAAATAATCTATTTAATGCAAACGAGTCCTGATTTGTGATCACAGATGATTATGAAACTAGTATTTTGAGTAATTTTCTGTGGTCAGGAATAAATATTTTTTCCAGCTGTCAGGACGCATCTCTAAACAACTCAGCTGCCAGGAAGAAATTGGAAACAACTCAACTGGCTAGTTCAGCGGGTTATAACGTGATCCTCCTGCTACGATTAGTGCTGTTTACTGCTACTATGACAACTAGCTCAGTGGCGATGACATTTGCTTCCAAGCCATAAAATGAGTATAATATCTAACAAGGAGAGCGAGGGTAGGAAAAAATATGAAACAACGGTGCACGTTCTGTCTGAATGACTCAAATCTGCCCATAGTTTGAGAAGTGAGAACGCACACACATGCACTGATCTAAGGCTTTCATGGTCCTTAAACACGCAGGAAGATTCTTAATTAGCTAAAACATATTGCCAACCTTTATTTAGGCATTTTGAAACACTTCCTTCTTTCCCTATTACGACAATCATCTAATCTGACTATCAACTGTCAATTTATGGATACGACTGCGGTTGGTCAGATCAGCACACCAGTAAATAGCTAAAGTTACACTGCAAATCAGATGGCTCGTTGCCGAAAATGATGCATGTTCAAAATTATATCCAGCTAACGTTAGCTAGCTACGTTGGCTTTTAGCTCCTATCTGACATCTTAGCACCATGTTTATCTAGAAAGGGTTCATTATCGTAATCTTTGCTAACAGGTCACATAGCTATCTGCTTAGCTAGCTTGCTTATTGCATGCATGTCCGGGCACCTCGACACAAGCCTTATTATTAAACTAATATTTGCAACAGGAGTTCGATTTTGGTCACTGTGTGAATTCATCCATTTCTCAATACTGCACCGTTCTGTTGGAGAATGATCTAGCTTGTTGCTGCTGACTTTCCCAGCTAGACATTTTTTTGGCATTGTGCAGTGCTGGTGGCTCAGGCGGTGAGTGCCATAGCAGCAGCTTTGCTCTGTAGAGGGACTATCAGCAAAGCCGATAGAGAAGGGCCGGTAGCCAATAGACTAGAAAAGGCCAATATCGTCCCGGTATATAAGCTTGGCCGATTATCGGTCGTTCTCTAATCTGAATGGCATGCTAATAAATGATTTACAGCCACTGTTCTGTTTGATAGAACAGTTTGACAAAGGGACACAGGAAGCAAATGTCTTTCTAATGTACCATTTACAGTATTTGTGTGCTTGCTTGGCTGTGTTAGGGAGCAAATGGACAAGCTAATAATGACTTTGAACACTCTCAACCGACGCAGTGGAATGGTCAGGATATGGCATGTCCCTCTGGGGACACCGTCCGTACCCAAACAGAGCCAAACAGATAGACAGCTCTCAGAGTGACCATAGTGATGTAAGTGATTTCCGGAACACACATCCTCCTGGTAAGTGTGGGTACACTGTGGGTACACTGCACAGCAAAGGTGCCATCTAGTGCCCTCCTCACTTGATGCCTCATGCCAGTCAACTGAACAGACACAATCTCTCATGAATAATAGGAGACAGTGGGTGTCACCGTGATTGATGCTGGCACATGTACTTAACCTTTCTAAAGCTGGTTAGAATCTGACTATAAATACAGAACAGTACTGAATATCTTCTATTGAAATGAATGTTACAATTACATGCAATTTGTG